CCCCGGGTAGGGGGTTGACCCTTTCGATGTTCAGCCTAAGGTAGGACTTGAACTTGGGTCTACCGATCATGAGTCTGATAACCACTATGCTACCAGCGATCTGTAGGGAAACTTTGAGTGGGTTCTAATCTGTTAATACATATACATGTACTTGAAGATAATAGCAGAATGTATTACGAATGAATGGATGCACACATACAACATCACAACAAATCTGTCCCACTCAACATAACAATACCTTAATCTGCGACTTACATGGTTTCCTGTATAATGGCTTGTTGATGTAAGGGAATATTCCACAATGACTTAAAAATAATACTGATGTGATACCGAATGCTGAATTTATCATAGAATTCATTACTGCTACCAGTGGTCTCAACATCTGAAGATAAAAACATTACAAAATTAATACAGGTATATAAATTAATTAAATTGTGGTCGAGACATGAGATCAATTAGATCATGCTCCCAAGTCAGAGACTTTCAAACTTTCTTTTTTTCTCTTAAAATATTGGTGCAGGTTCTTTCTCTTTCACATTTTCTATAAATTCCAATGTTAAATTCGACTTGTATTGCCTTCAAATACTTCAAAAGCTTTGAAATATCAAATAATAGAAGACAGTACAACAGAAGTAACGACTGACACGCAGCAGATGTCGATGCGAAGGTGTACTGTCTGAGTGCATACTTTGAGGTATCTTCCTAATAACCTTATTATTATACATCTTTGCCTTCCAAGAATATATCATGGGAATGTCGAAATCCAAAATGTTTAGAACAGAATCAGCGAACTTCTTTGTGTGGAGTCCAGTCAAACCCTAGTGGCAGCCATGTTTGTTTTTATTATTAGAGGACGCTTACGCGTGTAATCATTCCATCTTTGAAATTTGCATTTCCTAATATGGTAGGATGAAAATACCACGTAAAATACTGCAAAATTATGGCATGCTGTGACTTATGGCGTTACGGTGACAGATGTATTATATTATTATTTATTTTGATATCATTGTGAGTTATTTATTGTAATCCAAACACACTATCTTATTTCACTTACCTGTGTAAAACCTCATTAATGCTGGCGCCAAGTGCAGTGCCGCTAACGGATGATTGACTATCATGTTATGTACATTACGAGTTCTATCATGAATTGCTGGATTAACAACAAACATCAACTGAAAAAGAAGACAAATTATTAGTAAGTTAAGGTGTTAATACATATGATGAAAAGTACACCTGGTGCCCTGCAAATATTGACAAATCACCAGGCAACTCTTGAGACATGTCTATGATGCAATAACAATAATAAAATTGATATTGTCATATCGACTTTGTCGAGCGGAGCTTATCATATGAGTGATTGTTCTTCGTCTGTGTCAACCTTTTACTTATTTGACTTCTTCTTGAAAACTACAATTGTTATTGCTTTGATACTTGGTGTATATGTACCTTGGACAGACCTCTCTTAGATTTTAAATATCCATTTCGTGATATCTTAAATTCTCTAATTTTGATGAATATTTTTGTCCTTTTTGGTAAAAAGTAATATTTTCGACTTCTAGTTAAACACCGCAAGTCTGATTGCTTTGATACTATACATATAGGTACCTCAAGTAGACCTCTCTCAGATTTGTTCATTTCATGATGATATCTTCAATTATCTAATTTGGATGAATATTTTTGGCCATTTTTAATAAAAAGTGATATTTTCAATTTCTTGTTAAAAATCGCAAGTTTGATTACTTTGATGTTATACATGCAGATACCTTAGACAGACCTCTCTTAGATTTACTTATTTTCTGATATCTTTAGTTCTTTAATTAAAATGTGCATTGTTAACAGCGGAGCTATCTCGACCGAGAAGCTGCTTGTTTATGTCATCTGGCAAAGTCAAATAAGTGTTTAGACAAGCGGGCATTGTTGAATTCTTCTAAATAAGAAAACGTTTGTTGAAAGGTGAAAGGAACGTGATAGAATAACAATTTATCATGTGGTAACTAATCCACTGATATGATGTCCAAATATGGACAATAATGTAATATACTTACCTCAACAAATTTTGCCACTAAATATGGGTTACTGAGATAATGAGATGAACACACAATCATGATAATAAAGGTCACTATGTCTGGTAGCGATGTGTCTTCCAAAACATGAGGCATATGTCTATGAAAGAGAAATATTATTACACATGGTAAATTGCAGATAATGCCATCATGTTGCAGAAAAAAAAACTGGTCCATATAGGGATGTCTTCATGTTGTAGGAACACACTCAGGTCAATATATGGATAATGCCATCATGTAGAAAACAAGTTCAAAAAGGAATGCCATAATGTTGTTACAAACACTCAGGTCAATATATGAATAATGGCATTATGTTGCGGAAAACAGGTCAATATGTAGATAATTCCATTATATTGTGGAAAACAGGTCATTATGTGGATAATGCCATAATATTGTGGAAAACTGGTCAATATGTAGATAATGCCATTATATTGTGGAAAACAGGTCATTATGTGGATAATGCCATAATATTGTGGAAAACAGGTCAATATGTGGATAATGCCATTAAGTTATAGAAAACAGGTCAATATGTGGATAATGCCATTAAGTTATAGAAAACAGGTCAATATGTGGATAATGCGATTATGTTGGGGAAAACAGGTCAATATGTGGATAATGTCATGTGGGCTACTTACTGTAAAATAAATAATAAAGTCTCAGCTATATCTTCTGCATAGTAATCAGGTAACGAGGCATACAGCATTGGTACTTCTTGTGGCAATGGCAGAGTTCTGAAAACAACAGAATAATGTAAACTAACTTCAAAAGTTCATAATTTCCATGAGGTTCGTAAAGACTTCACAGGCAGTCACTCAGAATTTTTGAAGAAACCTGCTGATATTTTCAATGATTCAAAATTTAAAGATTTTTGTAAACCTGAGGACAAAAATGAGTGTTCTTTACATGTCAACCAAATACATATTTCAAAAACTGAACTGCCTTAATTAAAGTGAAGAAAATTTGTTTGTGAATTTTGTGATTTGGTAAAGATCAAACAAATTTGTAGAGAAGTGTCTCTGGATTCCTAAGATGTGTGTCATGGACTCTCGTGAAATTATGTCTTCACAAATGCTGAAATTGTGAAATTTTTCCAGTAAAAATTAAATATAATAACCATGTCTGCCACAGCGACCATACAACTACCTAATCACCACACATTTATGCACACTCTCTCTGCAACACACATCTACCATACGTACATTTCTGCTCCTTTCTTAGTTGTCATCAAACTTGTAAGAAATTGTACGACACTGCCGTAGAATGATAAACATCTTCGCAATAAGGATTCATCTAATAAACCAGCATCTGCACATGCTTTGGCTCGGACAAGTTTCTATAAAAAAAAAATTGAAAATAATATTTACAGTTTTCTAGGGAGTGAATCAAAGAAACAGTATCTTGTTACAGTGAAACAAGTTAAACTGAGAAAACAGCCACGTGGGACGCCAGCTGACAATTTAGGCAAGCAAAGTGCATAACTGATTGTTTTAAAATCACTAAAATAGTTTTTTCAAATATTCATCTATTACTTCAAAACTTGGCAGATAATTAATACAAGTAATAATAGTTAGTAATATCCTGCCAAAATAGTAATGACTTGATGCAAGGGTATAAGCAAAAATATAAATTTGATCAAAAATCACACCAGTTGTACAAAACAGAATTGTGAACCAAATATTATTCCTTCGCATTTTGTTTGGTGCACAGTTTTTTTCAGTCTATCAAATCTTTACTAATATGGAAAAGACAGATTCTGATATTGCTATAAGCTCTGTTAAAAAGAGTCTGATATTGCTATAGGCTCTTTTAAAAAGATTTAGGCGAGGGTTCTTCGAACCCGCCTATTCACATAGTTCATACCCACCATAGACTCCGGTCAGTCAAAATGACTTTTGAACTGTAGGCATTAATCAGCGATTCTGCCGGTGACGGAGAGATAGAATCCAGGTCAGGGGAAGCCCCATGACCTCAAGATTCTTTTACCCCTTACGTCACGAACCCACGTGACCGAGGCCACATGGCAACGCCATAGGCAGCCGTCCATCACTCTGGTTCCTTTCTCTCCGCCTCGAGGACTTAGACCAACGCGACGGAAAGAGTGGGGAGGTTGGGGGGG